AGTTTCTTTGAAATATTTAATCCCATAACATGGCACACCGCGTTCAACTGGATCATTGGTGTTCAAAATATGATACCATGAATCAGGAAGCTGGAATATAATGATATAGCCTTACAGGAGAAGCGAATTTCTGAAGACTATCTGCGAATAACACTTACTAAACTAATACTTCCAGTATAGAACAGATAAATTCCTTACATATATATATATAGCTGGTATTGCGGTTAAAAACCTTCAATTGTCAAGTAATTTTTCTTACCACGCAATTATTTTCTAAATGCTTACCATATTGTAATTGACTTCATCAAGCACAGGTAATGTGCATTTTTGATTCTCACGACGATATCCTGGTTTTCCAACTGCCGGGTTGGACAATAAGCAGACAATCAGAATGATTAAACAGCTTGACAAAATCATTATTACTTGTTCGACTGTCGTAAACGAAATAATAAAATATGTCCAGTGGGAATCACAATAAATTGAAAATCACGGCAAATAGCAGTACTTAAATGCGCATACCTCAAATGCTACTGAGAATGTGAGTCATTCTTGTACGTTTCACCGAAATATCTGCATTTAAACTGATGTAACATCCGGTGTACGCCTTCCTTGGTTGTGCTCTTGCTGATGTCTGGTATACCAGGTCAAAAAATTCAGAAAATGACATTATAAGCAATGGTTTCTGACATGCTAAATTTTCGACAGTCCGATACAGGGGAACTGCGCTCCAGAAACCACCGATTAAAACAAGCTTACTGTCTTCTGCATGCATTGGGGTGTGCATTACGACTGTGAACCATATGTATTTTGGACCTGAAAAGCATATACGATGTTACATTGCCATTTCAGAATGATCGGCGTTAATCATATCTCTTGATTAAATATGGCAACAACCGCTGGCTTTCCCAAGTCATCACGGAATCAAACCTGCTTCCTTCTTTAATCTCAGTATCCAACCGATCATGAAATTGTCAGTTTTGATTTCACCAATGGGGAGATTGATTCACAAACTAATATTTTGAAAACAGTGTAATTCGATAAATGTTTTCCAAAGGTTCCAGTTCCCTCTTTATTTCTTTGTCAATATCTAGGAAATACTTTCTTGAGGTCAAGGGTCGGATTGTATTGCAGGTAGGAAGCGTTTAGCAAAAACCAATACTGACCTTCTCCACCACACTGCAAGCAGATGAAATAATGTTCATAATCTTTGAAGCAACTTGTCGGATGTTCATAAAACTACCGAAAATCTGTATTGCAAGAAATTGTATTTATTGATCAGATCCGTCACTATCTTCCTCTATGCATTCACGTTCGACAACCACGTGTTGTACAAAGATTGTAATGTAAGACAACGTTCATTAGGAGTTTAACATTGGGGTTTTTGCACAATTTTATTTTGCAGCAATATTTATCAACAAAAGCAGTGCAGTTTTGGCATTTATTTGACCTAAGATTGTCAATACCTTTCATACATAGAAGTTCATTCGATCATTCCACTTGAAACAGCAATTTTGTTTGTTACTGTTATATTCATTTCAAGTTATGTTTCTTAGTTATGATTAATTATTATACAGGTCGTTGAAAAAGTTACGCAAGATTAAGGTAAAATTTTTCGTCTTGGCAACGTTAAAAAAAAGTAACTGTCAAAAAGCGTCAGTCGTGAAATGTATAAATGGCATTTCACCGTAATTAAATACTGTTAAAAGATGTCAGTCGTTAACTGTTTTAAGTAGCATTTCATCTTAATTTCGGTTACTCTTTTCTTTTCAACACCCTGTATATAAAGTTATTATGTAGGAATGAGAATTTACCTTCCAAAGCAATTAAACCTGCCTCATTTAACTCCCAAAAATTCTGAAAAAAGAATAATGAATTGTTGTCAAAGTAATCAGTAGGTCATTTTTTCACCATTCTGAAAATACATTTTGCACGAACAAAATATCGGGAATAAAGCAAAAAATGGCATTTCAGTGTGAACCGCGCAGAACACTACTGGTTATTTAACAGGAACACTCGTGATTAAATATAACAGTAATTATTGAAGATGAAGAAAATGCATAAAATGTTTTGGAACATAAATTCATTTTGTGTAAGATTTTTCACAAACCGAAACGTGAGTCGAATTTTGTGATTGAAGCTTCATTGTGATATTCATGAAAGGGTATGGATCCGCTCATTAACATTGTTCCTCTACATAGGAAAAATCATGTCAAATGTGAGTTCTCGCTCAAAAGTCCCATTTACATCTTTCTTTAAGTCGAGCATTGGGATTTGTTTATAGAAGTTATATTGCATATCCACGCCAGGGATGAGAAACAAAAAAGTTAGTTCACGGTAACAATATAAGCATACCCGATATTCGGTAAGCAATATTTATAGAACATTGATGATATATAGGCTATGTTCATAACAGTACATCAAATTTTCTCCCGTTAACAATTATTAACTCAGAAAACATTTGATAAATCTGGATACTTTTTATCAGGCCTACCAAAAATGGTCTAGAAGTTATAGTTCAAACCGGGAGTGTGCAACCTGCGGCCCAAAAAGAATAATTGTTGGGCCCCCGGAGAAATGTTAATTTTGAATGGTGTGAGGCACGGGGGAATATGTTTTTAACTGAGTTTAATATGGTAGGTGCGAGTAATTCCAATACATTTGCGTTGCAAAGGCTATACCTCAATCAAATTTATTATTTATGCTTATGACGTTACAATGCCCTAACACTGTGGTTGACAAATTCACAAAAGGGGGTGCAACAGCGCTTGTGCCAAGCGAACGTCGTCTAAACCAGTGGTTCCCAAACTTTTTGTACCATCGCCCCCCTAAACTAGTTTATACAACTTCATCGCCCCCCGGCACTGCAAAAAAAATTGAAAGTCTGAAACGAATATATTACAGACCAAATAAGAAGACAAATCATAGTTTATAGTGTTTTTATTGATGAGCTTGGTGTTCTTCGGCGAGTTTTTTATTATATCTAAAATTACCCCGTTTACTGATGGAAAGGCGATTTAGTTGTTTTGATAGCAATAGTGTCACGGCTGAAAACCCCTTTTTCAACATATCAGAAGTCGGAAATGAAAGAATCCAGGGTTCTACCTCCTTAAAAACCGCCGCGTACTCTTGCCTTATAGCATTTAACTCCCCAAATTCACCCCGTTTCAAATTAAAGGAATGAAAACAAAATTAAATTTTCAAAACTTTTAATAATGATTTAGGTACATCCCATTCATCCCTACAGCCTGATGACCTTCACCAAAATACATGATATATAACGGTATTCGGTAAAAGTCATCCCCATTCCTCATCCTACCACGTCCTACAGTCCGATCACCAGTCCATAGAATTAATCAGCCATTTGTTTTGGATTTGTGGACTCGGATGGCTCAGGGGTCGGCAAATTTTAAGTCGCTCGCGGGACAAAATTTAGGGTTGCTATTCTTTTGCGAATCAAATATATTTTTTGAAAGTTAAAAACGGAACATCGTGCAAAAACTCCGACAATTCGTGAACTCAACTCAGTCGTCTTATTAAAAAATTATTACAATGACATTTAATGTGACACTGTCTTGTTGCAGCATCACGCTTGATAGCTTTACGACGCCAAGATTGGAAGATTTTCTAAATCCTAGTCACTAATCCTAGTTCTTTGCTTGTTCTTTGTAATGTTCATTTTAATAAATATTTGTTAGCCCAAATATGTACTTCCAAACATCGAAGTGAATGTTTTTGCATGGTTTGTGAAATTTTGATAAAGATTTTCTTTAAAAAGATACATTCTTACAAAAATTAAGCAGTGATGAGTCTCTCGAATAGAATATGAATTTTTTCCCCTATTGCATGGTAATATATTCGAATATTTACTGCGCTATTAAACCCCTGCACTCAGCATCAACTTTTCTGCGTGTTTTCATTTGTCTCATTGTAATTAAATTGTAGGCTCGTTAAACGAGTAGCTGTTCAATATAATTTTTAGGATATGATAAAATTTAGTCTAAACGTGTCTCACGATAAATTCTGTTACGTAAAAAATGTAATTTACTCTTCGAGCGTAGATAATAAATAAAATTAATTCATCGGTAAAACCGCCGTTTTGGATGTTTCCCCTGGCATAGACTTCCTTGTTTACTTTGGTGACATTGGCCAATCAGCAAGATGCAAAAATAAACGTAACAATGCCCCCTTTCGCATCCACTCAGACACATTCCTCACTCAGCCAGACTTTCAGGCGTGGTCGTGAACATTACCTCATTTTTGCGATTTTGAATTATATTCGTTAGTTTTTAGTTGTTTTTCGGAAATTTAAATAAAAATAATTCAATGATCACCTTATCCTCCTAGGAATTTTAATTTAATTGCAGTAATCAAAAATTAGTGTAGAAATAGCTGTGATAGACTAGGCTAAAATTCTTTACCGGTACTTTTAAAAAACAGATTGTTGAATGGTATAAATTAGAATGATAGTTTGAAACAAATCCTTCATTTTATAGGCAACAACTCGCGAAACCACTCCCAAAATAAGCATCGAAAATTTTAGAATGGTAAAGTATGGGAAGAATTTCCGGGGGGGAATCCGGGGTCAAAGGTCGGGGAAAGGTCCATTCAGCGTCCCTGGCCAGATTACCCGACCACTGGGATACGCAAACTACCGTACCTTACTGCGAAGACGAGTCCAGCAATCCCTTCGCGTGTGACATCGTCCATGTGATTCAAACCCACGAAAGCACGCATAGTACAGTAATCAAGTGCACGATGCGCCGAGCAGAACCAGTTTTCGCGAAATCGCCCCCCTATCGCCCCCTTCGACTTTTTCGCCCCTTCTGTATCATTTTCGCCCACCGGGGGGCGATATCGCCCACTTTGGGAATCACTGGTCTAAACGGAACGAACGGGAAATCTTCAATGTTATGCTTAAATGAATCTATTTAATAACACGATAATATACTGACATTTGATTGCATTGAAACTGAAAGTGTTTAGGTAAAATCAATACTGACCTTCTTCACCACACTTCAAGCACATGAAATAATGCTCATAATCTGTGAAGCAACTCATCGGCTGCTCATAAGTGTATCGAATCTCTACAATGCAAAAAAGTGTATTTATCAATCAGCCCTGCACCAAAAGCAGAGCACATTAGGCATTTGCAAGCTGAAGAATGTCTGTATCTTTCCGAGCCAATTCAAAAAAGATATTTAAAGCGTATACGTCTTCTTGTGAAAGATAAATTAACGGTTCATGGCACTTAAAGCAGTAAAAAGAGTTAAAAGAAATATCATTGTTATATTCATTTTGAGTTACATGTTTTGTTATGATTGCTTTATTATATATATATATTATGCTACATAGTTGTTTTTCGAGTGCATCTGATTTGATCAATTTTTTATCTAGAATAGTTTTTAGCAATGTGAATTATAGTGATAATAAAGGGTATCATAAGAATTTACCTTCCAAAGCATGTTCACCTGCTCCGTTATGTTTTGCCAAATTCAACCACAAAAATTCTACAAAAAATAATAATTTGTTATGAAAGTTTAGAATACTTTAAATATAAATTTAATAAGTACAAATATTACGTGCCGAAACTTGTGTCGAATCTTGTGATTGAAGTTCCATTCTGATACCAACGGAATGGTATGACTCCACTGAGTGACATTGTACCTCTGCATAGAGAAAATCATAGTAAACGTAAGCCCTTACTGAAAATTCCATTTGTAACTTCCTTTATTTCAGTCGTGGAACATTTATTTATAAAAATTATAACGTATACCGCTCCCATCATTGGTTTATCGGATATCCGGCTGAGTAATTCCCTGCGTCTGTAGAATTCATTCCACTATTATTTGTTACACCAGTTTGTCGGATGTTACAACTTTTATAAATCCTAAACTCAGAAAATATCGGACATATTTCTTTTGAGAGAAGCGATAGATTTATAGTCCTGATGACTGATAGGGGTAACTTTGACTCAATATTAGGGTGCAAATATAACTCAATCCGTAAAAAACTCGATACTAACCGGGCGAAAACGTTAAAAACAAAAATACGTCGGTATGTTTCATTTTGATCTTAAAGTCAAGCAATTTCAAAAGTTCACCTATCTCTATCGTCCGAATCTATTCGCTATTGTCAGTTGCTAACGCCGCCGGTTAACATACTTATTTAACTTCCATAATTCCGAAGACCTTTTGGGCAGTCCATACCAAAACAGATTACGAACCTTTTTATAATAAATTATTTATGTATATCAAAATTATTTACTTTTCCGCTGATGAAATATGCTGAAATTCCCCAAAAATTCCGTCGAGAGTTTCTTTGAAATATTCGATCGCATAACATGGCACACCGCGTTTAAGTGGATCATTGGTGTTCAGTATGTGATACCAAGAATCAGGAAGCTGGAATATAGGAATACAAGATTTTTACAAAAGAAGCTGTAAAATTGAATGATACAGCAGGTGGCGCAATCAAACCCGTTCAATCGTCAAGTAATATTCGTTCAACTCAATTCAATAATTTTTATGAATGCTCACCATATTAAAATTGACCTCATCAAAAACGGGCAACGCGCAATTTTCGTTTTCACGACGATATCCTGGTTTTCCAACTGCCGGATTGAACAACAAGCAAACGACGATCAAAATAGAGACGCAACTTGAGAAGATCATTTTTACTCATTCGCCTGTCTTCAACGAAATGATAAAATATGCCCAGATGAAGCAATATTAAATCAGGAATGTCAGAAAAAGGTAATACTCTCCTACGTTTCCTCACGTGCTACTTAACATGCAATGCACTGCACACGTTTCCACTGCATGTTCAGTTCATGCAATATCAAAATGCAGACGTTACGAAATTCTTTGTTTTTGACTAAGATCATTCTCGTCAATTCAGGCAAAGACAAGTCAAACAAGGAGCGATGCTCAAAGATATGCTCTCAAATAAACTTAAAATACATACACACAAATCACTATCTTCAAAGTGTTAACTTCGTAATAGGACCACAATTTCAAGTAACGTCACCATCTTTAATGCGATATCAATTTACCGAATGATACCTCTATGTAAATTTATATTCTATCTATAAAAATTAAAATAATTGAAATAAGTCGTATATTACTTAAGAATTGTCGCTTTTCATCCGCGGTTAGAATGCATTCGAAATAACTCCCATTGGTGACAGATATTGCTTGATGTTTTCTTAAATGTCATTCACTCTATGGTATTTGTCTGCTTAACTCAAAACACTAAAAACTTCCATAAATGAGACTTGTGGACTTGTCGTCGCATGCATATCTGCACAACCGACCACCGACCGAGTGAGCCAAAAAGATTGCACAAGCCTGACATGACACGTAGTGGCGCAGCGTACGTGAAACCAGCCAAAAACAACAATTTTGGAATTAATATTCATGTAGAAGATCTACATGTAAAGCGATGCAGTCCGGTATCTGGCGCGGTTGCGCTATTACTATCGCCTGAAATCCTTTCACGGAAGTCAGTGTCTCGCGGCTACTTAGTCTACGATTAACAGTATATATGCGTCTAGCTGAAACACACTTCATACATGGTTCCAACAAATTGCTTTTTTGCTGATGAAAAGACAAAAGATGACCTTAATTACTAGTGTTGAAGGGTATGGTAATTTCAATCTGGTGTCCTAAAGTTAATCTTTTTTCAACTAAAGATTTAGGGAGTGATATTGCTTCTTCGCTTCAAAATTCATCACGATTACTTGGTTACCTTTCGATATATTCATCATTGTATAACATAAATTACATATAATAGATACTGTATAATGTTGTATAATTTTGAGAAGCATTGCCTAAAACTTATCACAAATAAATTTGATCGGCTGATATTTCGACATTGGCATTTTAATAAGCAATTGTTTCTGGCATGCTAAATTTGCGACATTCGGATAGAAACAAGAAAACTGCGCTCCAGCCACCACCGATTGTAACAAGCTTGTTGTGCACTCGAAGAATGTCTTCTGCAGTGGGATGTGGATTACGACTGTGAACCCATATGTATCTTTGACCTGAAAAGAATTGAAAATCATTTTTCTTATACCTTGTCAAGACGAGAAATCGGTGTTAATAAAATATCTTGTTCAGGCAGACTACCGCCATCCGCTAGTGACCACGGGAATAAATCAGGTTCCTTCTTCGAACTCAATTCCAAAGAGATTTTGATTTTGCCATTAAGGTAAGTGATTTTCAACTATTATTTTAAAAAGAGTGCAATACTACAATGAGCCAAGATTGATGTAACAGCTGAAACTTTCAAGAAGTCGTTCAGACCTTATTTCCAATCTAACGAATTATAATTCGTTTAATAATTATCAAACGCGATTGTAAACGTTTATTCGTTTCCGTAATTCTGGGTGTTATTTCTAAGTTTTTAGCTATGTTATAAAAATGTTAGTATAAAGCAGGGAAGTGTTAAGCTGAAATCAATACCGACCTTCTCCGCCACACTGTAAGCACATGAAATAATGCTCATAATCTGTGAAACAACTCATCGAATGCTCATATAAGTACTGAATTTCTGCAATGCAAGAAAATGTTTGTATAATTTTTGATAAACTCTGACACTATCTTTCTCTATGTATCAAGTTCAGCACAGACCTATAGTATAAAGATTGTTGCTTTAGAAAACGTTTATTAAGAGTACACCATTGATGCTTATTCAAACTTCGGCACTCACTTGTTTTGGGGTAATTAATATCAACACAGGAAGGTTTTAAATATTTACAGACTTAGGATTGTAGGTATCTTTTCAAACCGTTCCAAAAAAGATATTGAAGGCATAAACAACTTCCAGTGAAAGATAAATGATGATTCATGGCACTTAAAAGCCGGAAAATAAATTTTTATTGCTTATCATATACATTTTGAGTTACATTATTAGGTATGATTGCCTTTTCATATTTATCGCTACGTAATTGTTTTGAATAGAATATTTCCTAAAAATGCAAATAAAAGTTATTATATTAAAATTGAAGTTATCATAAGAGTTTACCTTTTAAGGCATGTGAACCTGCCCCGTTATATTTTGCCTCATTCAACCTCAAAAATTCTGGAAAAAAAAATAACAATTACATATTATTTAAAGCCCATAACATAAATTTAATAAGTGAAAATTTATTTCTAACCGAAACTTGTGTCGTATCTTGTGATTGAAGTTCCATTGTGATACCAATGAAATGGTATGACTCCGTTGAGTGACCTGCATAGGAAGAAAAAATTCATATCACTCGGTTACCTAAAAATCCTTGAGGCGAATTTTTCAATTATATTTTTTAAAAGTTATTTTGTATAACAATATCAATCCCACCATTAGCACATCATATATCAATGTGATTGCCAAAGTCTAGAAAATCCATTATACTATCAGACATGTTTCCATCAAAGAAAGATGGTTATAATCCTCATCGTTTGGGGAACTTTATCGGGTGCAGGACAAAAATAAACTTGAGTAGCTACCAGCGCCATACATTTGACTACTGTAATACCGAAGTTCTGAATAAACCAACCAATTTAACAATATGCTCTTAAATTTTCCACAAATGCATTGAAATTCTTTTTTACTTTTCTAATGATGAAAGAACTTGAAATTCTGCAAAAGTCCCGTCGGAAGTATCTTTAAAATATTTGACAGCATAACATGGGATGTGTTGTTCAACTGGATCTTTGGTGTTCAGAATATGGTACCAAGAATCAGGAAGCTGGAATATAGTGATACTAGATTTTTACAGAAGAAGCTGGAAAACTCAAATGATACAGCTGGTGGCGCAGTTTAGCCCCATTATTCGTCAAGTAATTTTTCTTTCAACTCAGCTCAACAATTTTCATTAATGCTTACCATATTATAATTGACTTCATCAAACACGGGCAATGCGCAATTTTCGTTTTCACGACGATATCCTGGTTTTCCATCTGCCGGGTTGAACAACAAGCAAACGATCAAAATGGAGACAAAACTTGAAAAGATCATTGTTACTCGTCCGACTGTCTTCAACGAAATGATAGCATGCATATGCCTAGATAAAACAATAATAAATCGGGAATGCCGACAAAGTTAAGTTGTTCGCTGCGTTTTTCTCACATGCTACTTGAAATGCAAGACATATTACGCTCGTTTCCATTGCAAGTTCAGATCATTCAATACCACAATGCAGACGTTACGAGATTCTTTGTTTGTTAATGACATCATTCGTGTCAATTCAGGCAAAAACAAAGTCACGGCAAAACAAGGAGCGATGCCTATTGGACTCGAAAGGATATACACACAAATCCCTACCTTCGAAGTGCCTAACTTTCTATGAAGGCCCTTATTTCAAAATATAACTCTATCGTTTTCAATGCGATTTCAAATTTACCGAATGATACCTTTATTTAAAATTTATATTCTATTTTTAAAAATTAAAATAAGTGAAATAACTCGCATTTTAATTCAGTAATGTCGCTTTTCATCTGCGGTTGGATTGCATCCGAAATAACTCCTATTAGCGACAATATGTAATGATATTGCTTGATGTTTTCTAAAACGCCATTCGCTTTATGGTATTTGCCTGCTCAACCTAAAACACTAGAAATGAGACTTGTGGACTTGTCGTCGCATGCATATCTGTGCAACCGACCACCAACTGAGTAAGCAAAAAAACATTTGGGGGGGGGGGGGGGTATTTATTCTTGCGAGTTTCACCGGAAGATCTGCATGTAAAATGATGCGGAAACCGGTATCTGCCTCGGTCGCGCTATTGCTGTCGCTTGAAATCTCTATCCGAAAGTCAAAGTCCGGTCGACTACTTGGCTACGATTAACCGTATCAGTCAAGCAGGAAAAAAATTAATCTTTTTATTAATAAAAGATTTATGAAAAATCAGACACTGAGCCGGTTTCATCCGGATTCGAAAAAATTTCAATTAATTTGGTTCTTAACGGCACTAAATACATGATTTTCAATTTCAGCTGACGAAGCGAACTTTCTGTCATTCCGCCATGTTCTTTGCCGCCATCGCACGTATTTTATTTCGGCTATTTCAGGAATGCTTTGCTACGCTTAGGTGGCGAAAGATAGGTACGTCATGTAATTTAGCAATCAATGAATTTAGCTATATCTTGAAGCCAATGAACAAGCTTCTGTTTTGCATTTTGGTGTAGTTTTTGAAGAATTTGATTAGCATGAGCATCTAGAAAATCCATTGAGTTAGGAGTTTACCAATTTTTCTCTTAAATTCATTTCGGAATTCAAATATGTGAGCATTAATTGAATGATTATTTTGAGAATTACTACCTATGTCTACCTATGTTTGAATTCGGCATTTGCTGACTTCTGGACTTGCAGTTACAGAGTTAAGATACCGTGGTCTTGTAAATGAGTAGTCATTTTG